GTGAATGGGGTTAAGGAAGGGGAGGGTCATAAAAGTGTTTTTTTTTTTTTTTTTTTTAAATTGAGGCATTTAAATGTTTTAGAAGGGGTTGAAATTTCTATTCATAATAAATTAAAATTTAAGAAATTTTATTAAACTTTTATAAATTTTTAATATGAAATTATTTCAATTTTAATTCTTACATTAACTATATATCATAAAAAGTTTACCATACAATTTTCTCAAGAGTGAGTTTCAAATTTTTTAAATTAACATAGTGATAAAAGTGCATTTTATTTTTTAATATATATTTTTATTTAGTAAAAGATAATTATTTAATATTTATTCACGAGTTTTATTTGCATATTTGGTATTTTTATCTTCATTATTGTATTTTTCTTAATATTATTATAACAAATAAAAATAAAAATTGACAAACAAAATATCAACCTTTTTTACTTTTTAGTCATTGCTTTTTTTATTATATTATTATATAATTCCTTATTTCTTCAATAATTTCTTTTCTCATTTATCAAATATAGGAAAAATTAAGACAAAAAGATTCATCATCATGTAGTTGTTATCATCATTTACTACTTTATACAACTTCATTTATAATTTTAATTTTACAATGATCATTTTTTTTAATCATCTTCGTATTTTTTTATTTCGAATTATTTAAAAAATATTTTTCTATAAATTAAAATAATTTTCACTTAATTTATTAATATTAAAAAAGAAATTATAAATACGCATCTTCCAGCAACTCATCACTCAACATCTTTCATCTTCAGCTTCTTTTATATCATCATATTTTAATTATACAAAAAACAGTTCGATTTAAATAAAAATATCATTATTTTTCTTAATAAACCAGAAAATTTAAAAGAAAAAATTATCAAATACTCAGAAAAAAAACCCATTATTACAAGTGGGTGAGTAAGAAATCTTCCTAGCTTTAATTTTATTCGTGCAACTAACAACGATTTTACTTTCAACTAAGATGATTTCACTTAACGTTTCCTCATCACAAGATAAAACAGGATGATAAGCAGACGGTGTCGCTCCAAGTGGAGAAACTCGAACTACGACACACGTGGTATTGATATAGCGTGTGTTTGTTAGAGAAGGATCCAGATGGAGACGAGCTACTGCCATGGAGCCATCAACATCCACTTCGACGTGTATCAACAAGGATTCTGTACAACCTTCTCCAGTTATTCAGTACGTTAATCCCGCATGGGAATTATCTCCCGTCTTCGATTTGAAACTAGAAGATAACGAAAACATCAATCAACTACCTTTAGAGTTCAGGTATTATGTTTGTTTTTCGCAGCTTTCTACTTCCCAACTCGTGATGACAAAAGTTAAAAAATTGGTGCCAAAATCTTTAGCAGGTACCGATTTTTTTTGGCACGATTTTCCCCACTTAATTTTCTATAAATTATAATTAAACAATTTAATTTGCGTCACTCATCACGCGATGCTTCACGAACAGGTGTTCTAATTTGTAGATTCCTATAGCGTGAATAAATGTTAATGAATACGATTTGATTTTATTTATATAAAATTTATTATGCTAAATGGACTAGAATAACTTTATTAATGATATAATAAGAAGTTAAATCAATATTTTCTTTCAGATCATTTGCAAATTGCAACCATTCACGAATTTTAATTAAAGTTTATGGAAGATGCCAGGTAGGGATGCCTAGGATGTGATGCAGAATTGAATTTTCTCTAATTAGCTTGAGGGATATTCGTTAACAAATACTTTTGAATAGAAAAATTTGTTCAAAAGAATAAATTTAATTGAATTTAATAAAGTTTTACTATTGTATTAAACATATATTTAAAATTTTTGCACTAATATGTTTTATTAACAATAGAGTTTCTTTTATATAGCCCAATCTCTTCCTACTGTTTATCAGTTCTTTCAGAGATATGAAAGCATTTATAACAGATTTATTGTGTAAATATTTTCACACAATTTGAGGTTTATTACATCTGATTTATTTACTAAGTGCTAGAAGAAAGTAAAAAAAGAAAGCAACCTGTCATTCACCTCTACTCTTACAGCATCCCTGCTGCATTACATCTAGTTATTACTACATGCTATTTTTTATATTAAGAGCTATAACTAACCTTAATGTAAACCTATCATACTAAACTAAAACTAAATGAAGCAAACTTGATTGATACTTTATTTTTAAAGTTTAAGTGTCTTTATTGTTTAGTATCATTTTATAGTAGAGTTTAAACTATAAAGAAAATAATAATTTTCCTTAGTTTAACAACAGAAATGGTAGTTTTTTCCTTTTATTCTTCATCATAAAAATCATTTCTGGAGATGGGAATGCTCTTCCCTGGACAACTCTCATCACTTCAATGACTACCTCAGACATGTTGTCATAGCAACATCACTCTAGAAACCTTCTCTAATTCTTCAACCAAGAGAAATGGAAATATATATATATATATATATTTCTCTTAAAATTGAACATGTACTGAAGATGATAAATAATTTTTTTTTTTTTTTTTTTAAATTGAGGCATTTAAATGTTTTAGAAGGGGTTGAAATTTCTATTCATAATAAATTAAAATTTAAGAAATTTTATTAAACTTTTATAAATTTTTAATATGAAATTATTTCAATTTTAATTCTTACATTAACTATATATCATAAAAAGTTTACCATACAATTTTCTCAAGAGTGAGTTTCAAATTTTTTAAATTAACATAGTGATAAAAGTGCATTTTATTTTTTAATATATATTTTTATTTAGTAAAAGATAATTATTTAATATTTATTCACGAGTTTTATTTGCATATTTGGTATTTTTATCTTCATTATTGTATTTTTCTTAATATTATTATAACAAATAAAAATAAAAATTGACAAACAAAATATCAACCTTTTTTACTTTTTAGTCATTGCTTTTTTTATTATATTATTATATAATTCCTTATTTCTTCAATAATTTCTTTTCTCATTTATCAAATATAGGAAAAATTAAGACAAAAAGATTCATCATCATGTAGTTGTTATCATCATTTACTACTTTATACAACTTCATTTATAATTTTAATTTTACAATGATCATTTTTTTTAATCATCTTCGTATTTTTTTATTTCGAATTATTTAAAAAATATTTTTCTATAAATTAAAATAATTTTCACTTAATTTATTAATATTAAAAAAGAAATTATAAATACGCATCTTCCAGCAACTCATCACTCAACATCTNAAGAATTCATTTGTGGATACTGTATAGAAAGTTAACAGTTGTTACTGCATTAGAATAACGCTAATATATTGCAATAGCAACAATATATAGAATATGTATACATACAAGTATATATATATTCTATTAAAGAAAGATATAAACTACGAAGAAAATCATTTTTTTGCGTGATTCGAAAGACAAATCGTCGAGTTACTGATTTTGTATGAGATTCAGACACATTCGAGAGTCAGAAGAACATCAAAAATTGATAAAACATGAGTTTTTAAAAAATATAACATAGATTTGAAGTTTATACTAATGGTTTTCTGTTATTTTGTAAAGTGGATATTCGATGAAGCGGAAAGAAAATCAGAAAAAAAATCATTTTTCACTTTCTAAAATCTCGTGTTAAACTTCTAACGGAGATTTTTATGGACAATTTTTGTGGTTAGAGACTTAAAATTTGAATAGCTTCTTACAACCTAATTCAATTTAATCTTTAGTGTAATTTTGAAATTTTCTTCACGATTTCTTTGATCTATACATAAAAACTATGCTACGTCCATAAATTTCCACTTAGCCTATATATTTCATATATATAGAAGCGAGTGGGAGAAGATAACAGGCTCCGAATCCTAACGTTTATTATATGATACGTTATGTACAGCAGATAAATTTAAATTTTAAATTGAACTAGTATGAAACAATAAAAACTTTCGAAATTTTGGATTGTAGAATGAGGCTTGCATCTTTCTTATAGAATGCTGAGTAACACGAAAACTGTGTAAATTGATCCTAACTCATGCAATTTCTAGAGCAAACTTTATATTGTCCCGGATCATAAGCTATTAAACTTCTCACTTGGCTGTTGAACGTTGAATAAATCCTGCATTAAATCAAAAATAACACGATAAAATCCAGTGATTAAGATATATTTATACAGAGTAAGATCAGTGAGGAACATTTTATGATATTAGAAGGATGTTGAACAATACTGCTTCTCCATATTGTTCAGCAACTCTTATAGCATGCTAGTAATATAAAGTTATACAAGCTGATGCTTCTATAGAGAAGCAATATGGGGGAGCAAGCTGATGCTTCTGTATATGACACCATTCCTAACTCACGTATTCTCTAGAGCAAACTCAATTATATTGTCCTTGATCATAATCTATTTTACTTGTCACTTGGATACGTGATGCTAAACAGATGTGCACTAAAGTAAAAATAACACGATACAATTCAGTAATTAAGATGTATTTACATCATTAACTTATAATTTAGCATTTTAATAACTTAGAATGATAACGATGTCACTTTTTTAAATTTGTTTTTCTTCTCAGTTTATTATTCTAAGAATGTAACCAACAAATCTAATTATGTCCTTTTACTAAAGATGATAAAAACTTTTTTCTCTTCTCGTTTATTAAAATTTAAGAAAGTAATTTTTATAATCACCTTAAGTAAAATCGATAAATCATTACTGTAATTATAGAGAATTTCCTAATAATTCCCTTCATTTTAATTATAGTTTCGTGTTTAACAGATTGAAAGAGACTTTTTCTTTATTTTAAATAGTTAGTTTTTAGCACTTTTCAATGATTTAAATGTAGAACAAAGCGAAAAATATCTTTTTAATTCTTCTAAATTCAAGCCCCGATTTTCCTTGATTCCCGAGTAAAAAATTTACTATTTTTGGCTTAAAATTTGGCAGAATTTACCGCATTAAGAAGTTTTCTAAAATTATGGATTCATTCTTTAATATTTTAATCGTTAGAATTCATTAAAATGTGGAAGTGTCGAAGAATTAAGCGAAGATAATGTATAACATTCTGGCACCCGAACTGGGATTTTCAAGGTTGGAGAATTGAGATTATCATTAATTTTGAAGCGCTTAAAATTAATTGTGACAATTTTATCGTTATAAATTTTCTTGGGAATTGGAAGAAGTCTTGTTTATCTTCCCAATTTTATCATGATTTCCAGAAAAATATTTAAAAATAACTTAATTTACGTGGACTTTGATGTATCGTGCATTTAAATTGCTACTTCCACCCTTTCCAATATTTTATAAGGAGAATTTGCCAAGAAAATATTTGTAAATGAGGCAAAATATATTATCGTTGCAGATAGGAAACTTGCCAAATACATAAATAAGATTTTGATTTTATTAAAAATGATCATTTCTTGGATGTAGATTAAGAAAATTCTCAATATATGAAAGGCAAAATAGGGAAATTTCGTGATGTGGTGCAGTTAATCTCATGAATTTTTGACAATATAAAAATTAAATTAAGGTTAAAATTTTGAAATTAGCAGTAATTTTCACGTAACTTCATTAATTATACTAAACTATGTTCAAATAAATTTACTTTAATTAACCAACATTATGTAATATTTTACAAAAATTTAAGAAAAAGTAACAAAATTTTATTAAAATTATCTTAATCTGCAACTTTTACACGTTATATTTTCTTAAAGAATTGAAAAATTTGCATAATTATGTGAAAAAATATAATTTTCCGAACTTCCCTGCAATACTTCAGAGTGATGTAGATGAAAGAATAAATTCATTTTGGAGGGTGAATAACGTTTATTTTAATCAATCTAGACACGTTCGGGTGAGATTAGTTATACCTTTTCCTTCAAGAAAACAGATTTTAACTCGCATCGTGACTCGCTCTTATTTAATCAGCTGCTGAAGTAAAAAATAGTCACGTAGAACAGAACAAATGACCCACATACAAGATTATAAACTACATCCAGACAAACGATCCGTATCTTCCGCATCCTTTCATCCCTCCAGATTATTGTAGATTAAATTAAAGTAGATGATGCAAAATTGTAACAAATGAATAAAAAACTTATTTAATATTTAATACTGAGATCCGCCCTTTAATCTAAATTGTTGCAGATTAAATTAAATTAGATTATGAAATATTCTAGCGAGTGCATCCAGGATGCAAGTTACTAAATATTTATGATACAAACGGGTTTAAAATCCTCTTTTAACTGGTTATAAACTATATTTATCGTCATCCTTTCATCGCAAAATTCTTACAAATTAAACTAGATGATGAAAAGTT